GAAAGGCCAGGCATTTTTCTATATCATATCCTGTGTTTAAATTGTTGAGGAAGCAAAGTTGTATTTGCTATAGCAACCGACAACGTTACTTATTTTTCGCTTATAAGTAGCCTTTCGAGACTACCAGTAGATCATATATATGAGATGTGTTCATACTATTTCTTTTAGGATGATATGGTATAATGCCCGAGCTTCCTTGAAATTCGCCTCTGAGCTGTGATCCAAAGGCACTCGTGACATTATGGCGTGATGGTTAACGTGTCGAGATCATACGCTGCAGTTTCATGTATTAAGTACGCTGGGGGGTTTCGACCTAGGCGAAATCGAAAAAGCAGTCCACCCACCCAGAATGATAATTAATTTTGGTAAAGCAGGTCCATTTGAAATTCAATGGAAACGTGATGTCTATTCATATCATTGTGGGTAACTTCAAGTACCAAACTCATATCACTTTATATGAATGAGGATGAAAACATCCGATAAATATGATTTACTTGTGGTATCGAAGGCCTACTTATAAACGGAAAATTCAAGAAGTTTATTTCTTTTATGCAGAATTTTTATACCTATTACAAGTCTCAATATAAATCATATGCGACAATCCAAAAGCTCCTAATACTTACATTATGTAATCTTTCAGATTATTTTGAACTCAATGCACAAATACCAACCACGATTTCATGTGATCTTCGTGCCACAACAAGAACATTTTCCGACCTGCTTAGCTCTATCAAGACCAGGGGATATTTTACAGGAAGAAGTGGTGCAAAATCTTGGCCGATTGGTGAAAACTTTCCTCTTTCCTGAAACAAAATTCTTTGCGGTCACCGCCTATCAAAACCATCGAGTGAGTGGAAAACAATGGTAGACATTGTTGAATCCTTTCCGATATCGTGTAGGAGAACCAAATTTAATTCATACGAGCAAAGTTTTAAGTAATGTGACCACTCCAGTAACAAATATAGAGCAAACCTAAGCTTTTATATATTTTAATTCTTTATGAATTATATTATTATAATTATTTGATTTTGGTTTCGCTTAAATCTATTTAGTAATAAATGCTTTTAGAATTTATAATGTACTTTTGACTGCATAACTATCCTTTATTATTATATGAAATCTCATTTCTTCCAGATTACACAGTTGAAGATTTCGAGTAATCCATTTGCTAAAGGCTTTCGGGACTGTGATCCAGACGAATGGTACCAGATATGATATCCTTTTAATTCAATAATAGAGAACAAACAGTACATAAACACAATTATAAAATAACTTAACTTTAAAGTAATTAAAATGGTGTAGTAGTAATTTAAATAAAAATGAGCTGTTAGGGATAATAATTTCTTGAGTAATTCATGCCTAATGCTGTATAAGCTAATAGTATGAGCCGACCCCAGTTACGTAACTCATACCTTGTAGTGGCAAATTCTATTTCTTTCAAAATTATCT